CTCATTCCTGTCACCAACTCCCCTTAGCCGTTCTTCATAAGAACATCGTTTCCAGGCCTTTGGCCATTTGGTTGCCCTCCTCTGGACATTCCAGTTTATAATGTCCTTCTTGGTGTGAGTTGCCCAGAACTGGACACAGTACTCCGGGTGAGGTCTGACCAGAGCAGAATACAGTGGCACTATCCTTATGATCTAGATGCTATACTCCTATTGATGCAGCCCAGAATTGCATTGGCTTTTTAGCTGCCGCGTCACACTGTTGGCTCTGTCAAGTTTGTGTCCTTAAGACTCTAGATCCTTTTCACATGTACTGCTCTCCAAGCCAGGTGTCCCCATCTTGTATTTGTGCCTCTGTTTTTTTATGCGTATATTACTTTGCATTTCTCCTGTTAAAATTCATCTTGTTTGTTTAGCCAGTTCTCTAATGTCAAGGTCGTTTGAAGTGTGATCCTGTCCTCTGGGGTGTTAAACCACCTCAATTAGTATCATCTGCAAATTTGATCAGGATGCCCTTGAGTCCATCATCAAGTCATTGATAAAGATGTTGAATAAGACCGGGCCCAGACAGAACCCTGTGGCACCCACTAGTCACTCTTCTCCAGGATGAAGAGGAACCATTGATGAGCACCCTTTGGGTTCGGTCCAGTCAGCCAGTTACAAATCCACTGAGTGGTAGCATAGTCAGACCATTTTACCAGCTTCTTTACCAAGAATATCATGAAGGGCACCTTGTCAAATGCCTTGCTGAAATCCAAGGTAGGCTACATCCCACTGCGTTCCCTTCATCTACCAGGCTTGTAATTCTGTCCAAAAAACGAGATCAGGTTAGTCTGACATGACTTATTTTCAGAAATCCATGCTGACTATTAGTGATCACAGCATTCACTCAGTTGCTACTGGGCTGTTTGCTTCCAGATGAATCACATCCAGATGTTTTCCCTGATGTGATTAATGGACAGAAGCAGTGAGTAGTATTTAGGTCCCTCTACTTTCCCCACATCGGACATGTTGCCCTCTCAGTCTGCCGGGACCAAGCCTGTTCTCCAGGAATTCTCAAAGATGACTTGCAAGTGGTTCTGAGATCATCTATAGTTCTTACCCAATACTCTTGGATGCAGTTCATCTAGCCTGGAACTTATGCATCCAGCTAGCAAATATTCTTAACTTTATCTGCCTTGAATTATCTGGGCTGTGTTTCCTTTGCTGAATCATTACTCAAATTCTTCAGGTCGGGCATTATTTCTTGCTCGGAGAAGGTGAGGCAAAAAAGGCATTGAGTTCCTTTCTTTCCCCATGTCCCTGTTTGCATTCACCATCTTCTCCTCTGAGTCGGCTTACTGTTTCTTTATTCTTTCTTTATACGGTTCTTATACAAGCCTTTTTGTTGCTTTTAACCTCTCTATAAATAAGTTGTCTATCACTTTGCTTTCTGACTTTGTATACTTACACGTGCTGGCTATTTGTTTGAATTCCTCTTTGGTGGTTTCCCCCCTTTTCCATTTTTTGTACACATCCTTTTTAATCTTAACTCAGTTAAAGTTCTTTAGAGCGCCACCCTGGCTTCATTAGGCACCTTCCATGTTTCCGTCTCATTGGTATTGCCTGACGTTGTGCTTTAGTATCTCCTCTTAACAAACTCCAGCCATCATGGGCTCTTTTCCTTTTAGTATTACTGTCCATGGGATCTCAGCCACTTCCCTAAGTTTATGAAGTCAGCTTTCTTAAAGTCAGAAATTGAGTCTAGTATGCTTGGCTGCTCCTTTCCGCTGTATAGTAAACTTCAGAGCATGATCACTCGCGCCTAATGATCCTTCCACTTCTACCCCACTAACCAGGTCATCAACATTGGTTAGGACCAGATCATCTTTGTTCCTCTTGTTGCTTCTCCACTTTCTGGACAATGAAGTTGTCTGCAAAACTAGTAAGAAATATTTGACTTCCTCTCTCTTTAGTTGACATCAACAAATATCCGGGTGAGTGAAGTCCCCATTACTACTATCTCCCTTCCTTTTGCATGCTTGACCATCTGTTCCAGAGGAAGGCATCATCTGTCCTCCGATTTGGCAGGGATCTATAGTAAACTCCACAATGAGGTCACTGTTATTCTTCTCTCCCTTAATTTTTGACCCAAATGCTCTCCTTTGGCTTTGAGGTTCAAATCTTGGATCTCTTCACAGGTATACATGGCCTCCTAGCCCACTCTCCTCCTTTCTTGTCTGGTCCTGTTTCTCTGGAAATGGGTGTATCCCCCATTATTACATTCCAATCGTGGGACTTATCCCACCAGGTTTTGATGATGCCTATTACATGTCATATTTAGTTTGCTGTACCAAAGAGCTCCAGCTCATCTTGTTTATTTCCCATGCTTTGCGCATTAGTGTGAACACAAGTCCATTAATCAACTCTGTGAAACTCTGTTTAGGATTTTCCTCCACCACTGAGTCTGTGTGCTGTTTGCTCCATTTGGTCTATGACATTTTGGATGATCATCTTCATCCAATTGATAGACTCCTACCTTCAGGAGCACTGTCTCCCTCCCCACATTAGTCAGTTTAAAGCCCTCTGATGAGGGTTTCTGAGATTTTGGCAAAAACATTTCTCCCAACCGTTGTGATTACTGGCCAATAAGCTTGCAGAAGTCCATCTTCAAAAACTGCAGTCCGTGATCTAAGAATCCAAACCGTTCCTGTTTACACCATTTGCGAAGCCAATGCTGTTCACTTCCAGTATTTTCCCCCTCTCTCCCTGGGCCATGTCGTTCAACTGGGAGGACAGATGAGATAATTGTACATTATTCTTGTTTCTACAGAGCCTAAATAGTCTCTTTGATCTTCTGGAGGCTATTGCTTGCAGTGTCATTGGTTCCCTTGAACCAAGAGGAAGGAGTATTTGTCAGTGGGTTTATGATTCCTTGCAGTCGTTCAGTTACATCTTGGATCTTAGCCCGGGGGACAGCACACTTCCCGAGACATCTTGTCAGGCCCACAGATCCTGCTACTGTTCCCCTCAGTAGGGAGTCTCTCCTGCACTACACGCCTCCTCTTAAGAGTTTGGTTGGGGTTCTTCTGTGAGCTGTCGGCTCCAAGATTCGCCTGCATTCCCTGGACCCGACTTTGCTACTTTGCGTCTTCATATCCTGATCGACTGTAATGAGGGAGAGATCCTCAAATGGAGTCTGCTCTTCGTCTTCCATGCTAGGGGAGAGGACCTCAAAGCGATTGTGTATTTCTAAACAATCAGAGCGAACCCTGGGCCTCCTACTTCTTTGAGTCACGTTTCTCCATATATCTCCACATATCATATCTGTGGCCACAGCATGAACAACAAAAATCACACACCCACTGTTTCGTTCAGAATGTTTTTTTTCTTGTTTTCCTCCTCTAAAAACTAGGTGCGTCTTATTGTCAGGTGCATCTTATGGAGCGAAAAATACGGTATATATCAGTTATGCTTCTCCGGGCTCTTTTAACAGCATTTTTAATATGGATTTTTTTTCCAGTCAGTCTGTCCTTTCCATTGATGGTGAACTCCAAATTATACTAAAATTGATGCCAATTATGTACGCCGACAGCAGAAACCAGAGTTTGATTTGAGTGCCCACTTCCAAGAACTTTGCTTTAGATCCTCAGCTGTTTTATAAATGTTACTAATGCTTCCATTTTAAAATAGATCATGGTAATGTCAGATGGGACCTCGGCTGCTTCAGGGCAGAGTCTTCACCTCCTGAACCTTCCCAGTAATTCCCTGTCTTTTTCTGAAGTGAAGAAAAAATCATCTCATGGGCCGAAGGTGAGAGGCATAGGAGGATAACAGAATTTGGGATTTGCATTGGTTGAGGGTTTTGAAAGTTGCGTGGCCAAGAAGCAAGTGACAAGTTCAGAGCAATACTTAAATCAGATGACTGAACGACCAATCATAGTTCTAGAATATATTTATCACCCTTGAACATTTCATATTTTCTTCCATTTATTTGCCTTTCAAAGTGAGGTGAATTATGTGCTTCAACCTATGTGCATTAAATGGCCATTTTTAAAGCAGATGTTAAATATGAACATAGTTTTTTGCACCTTATACCCTAACCTAAAGAGTAACATACATTAGAAACTGAACAATGCAGTCATCAAAGTATGTTTTCATTTATCCACGAAAGTCTGGTAACAGAACGTATACAAGCTTCCTCCCATTTCTCAATAAGGACCAGGCAAAGTTTAATTCAAGTAACCTTTATTGGCATCACATAAGAACATTCAGAATACATTTTAAATAGATAGGCCAGTGCAATCTTGCCGCCACCCCCAACGGCATAGTCACCCGCCAAAGGGCAGAAGGAGCAAGCAATCCGCCTCATCTCTGAGGGTTTTGAGCAAAGGCAGGATCCTGTAGCATACTTCAGCGACAAAAAATCAAATAGAGGAACTTAGCTACTGTCTTGGTGAGCTCCTGGTCTCTACCCTGTAATAAGAAGTGCATAACCTCTGATTTCCATGTTGGAATACATAGATGGTCTAGAAATTGTTGGCGGAGATCATCATACATTTTACAGTTAAGGGCCGTGTGAGCTAGAGTTTCCACCAGGTGGGTATCGCATGGGCAGATCCTGTCTCCTTCCGCCAAACCCACCCCAAAGGAGGTTAGAAGGATTAGAATTGAACCTAGCCAGCGAAAAGCCCCTTCTTTCTTGCGGATTAAATGAAGTTCCAAACTACTTCACTTTTCAGCAACAGAAATCAGATTAGATAAAATGCCAAGGAAAGCTGAATGTTAACTGTGTTCTGGGGAGCTTGTGATTTTACTACTACGGGGAGCTAAGCCCCTAATTAATAACTATCTTCACTTTTAAGAGCATTTCTGCACATATTTTAATTCTTGGGTGTTTTGTGTAGCCAAGACTGTTTTAACTTGCAGTAGGATAAATTGTTAAGAGTATTTTCATAGCATTGTAGCGTTGGAAGGGACCTCGAGGATCATGTAGTCCAACCTCCTGCAATACAGGAATCTTTTGCTCAGGGTGGGGTTTAAACCCACAGCCTTGAGATTAAGAGTCTTCTGCTCTACTGGCTTGAGCTATTTTCCAAATCTATGTGGAAATGCAGATGGCTAGCAGCGATTTAGCATTATGGCAAGGTCCAAACAAACAACAAAGTTGTATCTAACAAACATTAGATAGCAGAAATAAATGGTCTTGGTAGGCTTCCTGAAGTAAAAGTTTTCCAACTAGCTATTGCATGTATCCATGCTTGAGGAACGCAAGCTGGATATGTGTCTCTCATTCATTCATATATATATATACTGGGTGTTTTGTGTGTTAAACTTAAACTGTTGCCTGTTTTGAGAAGAGGCAAAGCTAGAAATGGCAGGCAATACAATAGAAAAATGCCATTGTCAGTATATAACTTAAAAGCCAAGAAAATTTGTAAGCTCTTCTTGTTAGTGGTCATTTTTGCATTAAAATGTGTTGCATTTAATTGTTTTTTCAAATTTATTTTTTTAAAAAAACTATGTAGTAATTGAAGTAATCTGCTTTATTCCTAAAAGGTTACACTTCAGTGTGGCGAAATCAATTTATCGTAAGATTGCATGTTAGCACGGATATTTGAACTGTTCGGATCATAATTTGAACTGTTCATATCTAATGCTGGCCAACTTTTTTCCAAGTTGGGATCCAGCCTTATCTCAGACACCCCCATTCTTGTCATGAGTTCCCCAAAAGCATTGCTTAAAAACAGGAGAAGCTAGATTTCAGCTGCAAGTGGAAGAGAGAATTGGCAGACCATTTACATGTGATGGTTTCTTTGGTTCCTGGGAGGTGTATTGTGTGGCAATTCCCGCCTCCCACCAGTTGGAATAAATAAGACACAGGACACCATTATTTTAGGTTAATGGGCAAAAATTGGCCACAACTTTATTGGTTACAGGTAAGAGTGGTATTGGCTTAGGCATTGGTCCTATCCGACTATCTGGCTTCAGCCTGATTGCTTGAAGACCGGGAAGGATTAACACCAGCAGGGGGAGCCCTGAGATGCACATCACTAGGAACTCCCCCCGGGGTCACCGCTCGGGGGCGTGCTTTAGGCCCTTGCCTCCATAGGTTTTGGACGAGGCAACGCCCCCCGGAATCCTTTACTGGACTACCCTTAAATATTTGGGGGAGGTGATGGCGCTCCTCCCCCCCAACTCATCTACATAAGAATACCCCTACCAATGCCTAATAGCCAAAACCAATGAGTTGTGGCGATTTGCTACGAGGTAGGCGAAAAACCAAATGGCCAGTGCCAATTCGCCAAGTGGAAAAAAATCCTACTAGGCCCCTTGACGGGGACCAACCGAAGTCCATAGCAAGGTCAGAAAGCAAAGCTAGAGGGTGGGTGGGTGGGAAACCAAATCTGCGGCAAGGACGAAAAGGGGCTTAAATGACCGCGCCAGGCTTAAATGACCCAGGCAATGCCCCCGGAGCCAGCCGATTGGCTGGCCCTGGAGCTGATGCGGCCCGAGGATTCCCCTGGTCGCGCAGGGCTGGCTTCAGCCCCGCACGATTGTTGGGGGCGTGAGCCTGCAACACCACCTCCTCCTTATGTCGGAAGTGGCTTTGTCAGTGTGTTGCATGGCCCAGCTCTTTTTCTCATGGTTGGCTCTGCAAGTAGTTGATGAAGAAAGCAAACCAAGAATTAACTCTTCATTATATAATATCTTGCAAACATGCACGAGTTACTCGAATTCTTCCGTGACTTTATCTGCGTGGTTATGGTGATTGAATGCAATGGAATGTCCCATTCGACTTGCACAAGGATCTCATGAACTACAATCACGAGGTTGCAAAGAGGGTCAGTTCCCTCGAATTGGTCTTATGTGTATGTGTTACGCCATCTACAGGATTAATTCCAGTAGACACCCCACAAATATGACAAATTATGTCATATCTGGCCCTGTAGTTTAAGTGCACAATTTTAGCAATAGGATTTAAGATTCAGAGCTGTATTCTAATTCATTGGTTTCAAAGGAATTCAGTTTACTTCATGCTAGATTTTGCCTTTTAAAAATGTTTGGCAATAAAAGGAAAACCTACCTAACTTTAACTTGGGGGTATCTAGCAGGTTAACTAAAACTTAAAATAAAACATTCCATTTAAGGAGTGTTGGGTTCCTGTTTGCTGTATCTATGATTTAATAACACCAACCTGTTAGATAAAATAGTGTTGTTGTTGTTTAAATATCTATTTTGCTGTTCATAGTATTTTCCCTCACACAGCGGTAAGCAGTAGCAATATGCAGTAGATAAATACAAAGGCAAAAATTCCTTTCTATGGAACACCCTCCCACCAGATGTCAAACAGATAAACAACTATTTGACTTTTAGAAGACATCTGAAGGCTGTTCAGGGAAGTTTTTAATGATTGATATTTTATTTTGTTTTTAATATTTTGTCTCGTTGCTGGGGCAACCCAGACAGATGAGCAGCAGATAAATAATAAAAGAATAAAAACTACTATTATTATTAAAAGTTAACTTTGTGGTTTCCATTGTTGCAGGACCCAAGTAAGATTATAAGCACTTGCAGCAGCAGCAGCAGCAGCAACAGTTTTTCAAAGCCCCATAAATTAACTAAGGAGCACAAGGAGAAACCTTCTAAAGACTCGAAAGAACATAAAAGTGCCTTCAAAGAACCTTCCAGGGAACATAACAAATCTTCCAAAGAGTCCTCCAAAAAACCCAAAGAAAACAAACCACTAAAGGATGAAAAAATTGTTCCTAAAATGGCCTTCAAGGAACCCAAACCTATGTCAAAGGAGCCAAAATCCGAAAACAACATCCTTACCATAGCAGGTGGACAGCAACAAGAGAAGAAAGCCCCCACGAAAAGGCCTCCGGGGATGGATTCTGAGGATCTTGCAGCCAAAAAGAAGAGGAAAAGTGGCTCAGAGGCTTTATTTAAGAGTTTTTCCAGTGCTCCCCCACTGATACTTACTTGTTCCACGACGGACAGAAAACAGACAAAGGATAAATCTCAGTTTAAGATTGGGAAAGTCAAAATGGAAAGCGAGACACTGGAAAAGAAGAAGACCACATTACCCCCGTTTGACGATATTGTGGATCCTAACGATTCCGATATGGAGGAGAACATGTCCTCGAAATCTGAAGTAAGGATTTTATATGGCTATTATCCCTTCCTCAGTTTATCCCTTAAAAAAAAAGAGAGAGAAAAGGATGTACATAATAGGTGGTATCAAACTAAGTTTTACTCAGAGAAGGGGTAGGTCCATTAATTTAACTGGGTCTACTCTGTGCAGTTTTAGTTGAACAGCACCGTGTGCTTGCAGGTTCTGTTTCGTTATTCAAAACCATGGAAATTGGCTGCAGGCACACTTTCATTTGCAGATGCTTTGGCTGATTTCATTTTTGACCCTCTCGGGAGTTGCATCAGTTTGTTGTTGCTTTATTAATAATGCTGCAGAAATGTGCGTTAACGGAGGCCGTTCAATGTGATTGCTTCTCGCTGCCAGGAAACAGATTGGGTTTTATGATTATTTTTTTCTTGTGGGCAGACGTGTTACAGCATATACTAATTGATGCATGCAAAGGGATAATACATTGAAAATCGGCTTTGAATGGGAAAGAGATGTGTAAGTTTGTATATGATTGCAACGGCTCGTTCTTAGCCAAGATGCTAATTGCTTGCCCACGTATGCTTAAGATACCATTAATTGCTAGGGGTCCCTCCAAGGCCCATTCATAGAAGTGTGTTCATCACTTATCTCAGCTTGGTAACTTAAAGATGAATATGCATATGGTCTAGAACAGTATTGTGTGTCCAGTTGACATTGTGGGGTTAAGCTGTTCTGACTGATAAGTCATCATTTGGTGCTAGTATTAATGAGTGTTGAACTTGCATTACATCACAAAGTAAAATTCAGCAATGTGTTGGGATTCATACTTCTGAAGTTCATGCTTGTGTGGGAAATATAAATTGGCTCCTAGATACTTGATAGTGTGAAATGAATGTAAACAGCAGAATATATTTTAAGCGTCATATGTACTTTAGCACGAATCTCTGAACAGATGGTTGTCTAGTAGAGGAATACATTTCATAGACTTCAGGGTTGTAAGGTGTTCTTTATGACAGAAAGGAGATGATTATATTTAGTGAGTTGCCAACTGAGGATTGTAGGCTGCACCTCAGGCCTATTAACCTCTATCATGAATATTCTGGGAGAATCAAAAGCCTTTAACTCGCCCGACTTGAGTTCTGTAAGTTTGCTTGCCTACTTTAGTCAACCACACTATTTGCTCTACAAAAAAGTTCTGTGGTGAACTCCTGTGCTGTCTCTTTTTTTTGCTTATGAAAGTGTAATTTGGTGTGTAATGTGTAGTCTTTGTAGGGTTGGTGGGTCTTTGCATTAGGAAAGTAGACTAGGTGATTTTTTCCCCTATGCTTGTAGCACTAGATGATTTTCCTGGTTGTTGCTTTTTAAAAAGTTGATAGTTGTAATATTTAAAAGTTATATGGCACTTTCTGAATCTCTAGAGTGCTTCAAGTGGACTTTCGGTACTTATTTTGTAGAAGGGATTGAAGCACAGGAAATTTAAAGGTAAAGGGACTCCTGACCATTAGGTCCAGTCGTGGCTGACTGGGGTGCGGCGCTCATCTTGCTTTATTGGCCGAGGGAGCCGGCGTACAGCTTCCGGGTCATGTGGCCAGCATGACTAAGCCGCTTCCGGCAAACCAGATCAGCGCATGGAAATGCCGTTTACCTTCCCGCCGGAGTGGTACCTATTTATCTACTTGCACTTTGACGTGCTTCCGAACTGCTAGGTTGGCAGGAGCTGGGACTGAGCAACGGGAGCTCACCCCATCGCAGGGATTTCAACTGCCGACCTTCTGATCAGCAAGTCCTAGGCTATGTGGTTTAACCCACAGAGCCACCCGCACCCCTACAGGAAATTTAGGTTTGTGCAATTACCGTGTATTAAAGTACTCTGCTGCCCTAGCACAACAACTGGAAAGTGTGGGATGAACAAATGACCAAAAGGAAAACATATAAGCATCCCACAAGGAAATCAGAGCGATTGATCATGGTCATGTA